GGACCCGGTGGCTTAAAAAACTCACGCTGGGCGCGTGTGCGTGCGTGCCCAAGATCCTAAGAGGAGTGCGGAGGTTTGTGAGGACTCTGCCCTTTCTTGTGGTTTTTGTCCATTTGTGGTCATTAACATGTTATTTTACTGGGGGTAGTAGGTGGCATGGTACTTAAGGTGCCAGACTCCCATGTGACTGACCACAGTTCAAATCCCAACCTGGTGGCTTGAAAATCACACCAGGCATTGTGTGTGCATGCCTGAAACCTCAGGAAGAGAATGGAGAGAAGGGATTGTCATTCCCCCAAGGGGGTGGTTTCTCACTGTCTCTGTCTCTCTCCAGGCACTATGGCAAAAACCTAAAAAAGGTTATTTTATTAATTTACATTAAATATTTATATTAAAATATTTTCGTTTTCTTTTAAAATGACTCTATATATTCATATTCATTAGACATTAGTATATGTAGCCCTATAAAAAAAAAAAGTAACCTGTAGGGACCAGAAGATGGCATAATGGTTACGTCATTGAACTCCCATGTGGTCCACTGGGGTTTGAGTCCTGGATGGCAATTTGAAACTCACATTGGATTGCATGCATGATGCCCAAGATCGGAGATGAGAATAGAGGAGAGATTGCGGCATGGCCATCCCCCCTGGGGGCGATTTCTCACTCTCTGTCTCTCTAGTGAGTGCAGGCATGCACAAAAATCTCTCTAAAAGACAAAAAGTCAAGTGTATCCTTTTTAAAAAAAAAAAACAAATTTTCTTTTTTTGTTTTTACTTCTTTTCCCTTTGTTTTTAAAATGTATTTTATACATTCAATCACTGTACATCACCACAACTTATCAAATGAATTTTCCCAGCATGAATACACTGCACAGCAGTCTGGGTAAAGATATTACCATACATGTTATCATCAACAGACGGCCCTCCATTTCTGTGCCCCTTAAATTCCTGGCCTCTCTGTCTTCTCGATTGCAACTGCTGTGCACGTGAGTATTTGTTAATGGCCGTGGACCGGGCATGGTGCAGAAATGAGCTATCATCTCAATGCCCTTGTATCACTTGAACAATGTCATATTGGTCATTGAAGCAGCCTGATGGTCTCAAGGCTGTTAAAGACCACAAAAACCTTTTCCCTATACAAGTGGGTATGAGGTAATTGTGTGTCTGTGTTGCAGCATGTGAGTGTGGGGGAGCAGGGTGCAGGTATGTATGTCTGTGGGGTAGCTGTGTGTCTGCATGTGTGTCTGTGTTGAGTGTGAGCATGGAGACTGGGTGCAGGTGTGTGTCTGTGGAGTAGCTGTGTGTCTGTGTGTGTGTCTGTGTTGAGTGTGAGCATGGAGACTGGGTGCAGGTGTGTGTCTGTGGAGTAGCTGTGTGTCTGTGTGTGTGTCTGTGTTGCAGTGTGTGAGTGGAGGGCCAGGTGCATGTGTGTGTGTCTGTGTTTCAGTGTGTGAGTGTGTGGGTGGCAGGGTGCAGGTGTTTATGTCTGTGGGGTAGCTGGTTGTCTGCATGTGTGTCTGGGTTGCAGTGTGTGAGTGGGGGCACTAGGTGCAGGTGTGTGTCTGTGGAGTAGCTGTGTGTCTGTGTGTGTGTCTGTGTTGAGTGTGAGCATGGGGACTGGGTGCAGGTGTGTGTCGGTGGAGTAGCTGTGTGTCTGTGTGTGTGTCTGTGTTGCAGTGTGTGAGTGGAGGGCCAGGTGCATGTGTGTGTGTCTGTGTTGCAGTGTGTGAGTGGAGGGCCAGGTGCATGTGTGTGTGTCTGTGTTGCAGTGTGTGAGTGGAGGGCCAGGTGCATGTGTGTGTGTCTGTGTTTCAGTGTGTGAGTGTGTGGGTGGCAGGGTGCAGGTGTTTATGTCTGTGGGGTAGCTGGTTGTCTGCATGTGTGTCTGGGTTGCAGTGTGTGAGTGGGGGCACTAGGTGCAGGTGTGTGTCTGTGGAGTAGCTGTGTGTCTGTGTGTGTGTCTGTGTTGCAGTGTGTGAGTGGAGGGCCAGGTGCATGTGTGTGTGTCTGTGTTGCGGTGTGTGAGTGGGGGACTGGGTGCAGGTGTGTGTGTCTGTGGAGTAGCCGTGTGTCTGCGTGTGTGTCTGTGTTGAGTGCGAGCATGGAGACTGGGTGCAGATGTGCATGCTTATGATGTAGCTGCCTGTGCATGTGTGTCTGTGTTGCTCTGTGAGTATGAACACGGAGGCAGGGGTGCAGGTGTGTGGAGGTGGCAAGTCTGTGTGTGAATGTGGACAGGTGGGGGTTGTTATCATCTGTAAGGAAGGTTGGGCTGTGGGCTGGGGGAATGGTCTTAGTCAGTTATGGCCTCCCTAGAAGGCACCTAGGAAATGCTGGCTGACAGCTCTGGCAAAGCTGGAACAGGCACGGCCCTTCCAGGCCTCTCCCTGTGCTCGCCTACACCCTCCCCAGGGCTCCCCACATGGGAACCACCGTTACACATCCTTACACTGCTCCTGCTAAATAACCCTGCCAAAGACGCGCAGACTAGCACGCCGTGACCACACCGAGCTGACACCTGCTCTCCTGCGAGCCTGGCTTCTGTTCTCTTCCTCCCCTCAGGGATCCCCAGAGAGCTGTATCTCCCTCTCTGTGCCTCGTCCTGCCAATGCACAGCCTCCCCGAGGCCTCTTTTCCATTTCTGCTCCCTTTGAAACTTCTACTGGTCAAGGTGGGCCCATTCTAAGATGGCGACGCTCAGGCACCATCAGCTTGAGATAAAACTCTGCCTTCACACTCTTCTCCTGCTCTCCTGTCCAGAGACCGCTCTGTGAGGCATCCTGTGCAGATGGCGCCCCCTGCAGGGCTGCTGCCTCCTGCTGTCCACGGGTGCATGCTCTGCCTCCTGGGATCTGGTACCCCCCGGTTCTCACCACTCCTGTCCCCAGACTTCCAGAGCTCCTGCTCCAGTGAGCTCAGTGGACAAAGGCCCCTGGTCTGACTTCCACCAAAAGAATGTTAGGTTGGGGGCCAGGAGGTGGCATAATGGTGGACTACCACATGGTCAACTGCAATTCAAGTCCCAGACCTGGTGTCTTGAAAGTCACACCTGGCACGTGTGCGTGCATCCCCAAAATCCCAACAGGAGAATGGAGGAGAAGGGATTGCAGCGTGGCCATTCCCCTGGGAGTGGTTTCTCACTTTCCCCCTGTCTCTCTCTGTGAGCACACATGCCGTATAGCAAGAATCTCTTTTAAAGAAAAAAAATGAGTCCATAGGAGGATGTATGTTGCTGAGAAAAGTGTGTGTGTGTGTGCACACGCGCATGCATGCGTGTGTGTGCATGTACACAACATAACACAAGCTTAGATGAAAGAATGGAGGAAAGCAGGAGTGAGCCTGTCAGTCGTTGCAAAGCCTCCCCACTTCTTCCCTCCTCTTCAGCTACGGGTTAAGAGGGAGGAGCAGGAGAGGGCAGTGTGGGTGTCCACCATGGGCTGCCCTTAAATCTGGCCAGGGCAGGGTGTTCCCACTGGCCCCTGGGAGGGACGGAGTGGTTCATTCCCTTCAGCCCCAGCTAGGGGACGATGGCCAAGCTCCGGCAGGCCCCACAGCTCCTGCTGGTCATTTTGGTGGCTTTGGTGTCCCTGGTCTCCCAATACGCAAGGAAAACCTTCATGACTGTTGAAGAAGTGCCTGCAGTGGCTCTCTACGTGGAGGACACCTTGCAATTTGTCACCAACGAGTACAACAAGGACAGCAGTGACGAGTACAACTTCAGGATTGTCCGAGTCCTGAAGATCGAGAAGCGGGTCAGTGTTGCCTCTCCCCCTCTCCTCCCCTTGCCCCATGTAGGAGACCCCAGTGCATGGGAGCATGACTCACCCAAGTGAAGTGCAGCCATAGTTAGCATGGAGTGGGCATTGCGAGAGACAAATTTGCTCAAGGAGTCCCAAGAGCAGGGGTCAGCACATTATGACCGGAGGGCCAGATCTGCTTCCTGCTTTTGTCTGTAAGTCGTGTTGTTGGAACCAGTCACGCCACTATGCAGAGGTCGGTGGCTGCTTTGGTGCAGCGAGGACAGAGTTGAAAAGTTGCCACAGAGACTGCATGTCTCATGAAGCCCCAAATGTTTGCTATCTCTCCCTGGACAGAGGAAGCCCACCCCTGCTGGGATCACAGGCATTGTCTGTGTAGTCCAAGGGCTGACATTGCCCACTCACAACGATTGTGTTTCCAGGGAATTCTTTTTAAATGACAAAAAGAGGTACGAAGTGGGACCAGCAGTTAGCATAATGGCTATGTCACTGTACTCCCACGTAGTCGACTGCAGTTCAAGTCCCGGACATGGTGGCTTAAACTCACACCGGGCGCATGTGCATGTGTGACCAAGATCCCGAGAGCAGAATGGAGGAGAAGGGATTGCGGCATGGCCATCCCCCTCCCCCCCGAGGTGATTTCTCGCTTTTCTGTCTCTCTGTCTCTCTGTCTGGTGAGTGCACGTGCTCTATAGCAAAAACCTCTCCAAAAAAAAAAGGTACGAAGTCAGATAGGAAGGGGAAGAAGGAGCCTGCCCATCTGTCCAGGACCGGGTCCTTGTCCCTGGCTACAGTGCAGAGAAGCCCCCCATGCAGAAACTACAGACAAGGGACAAGAGCCCCCTGTCTAGCCCCTTGCCACCTGCTGCCCACAGGTCACCGACCACCTGGAGTATCACATTCACCTGGAGATGCAGCGCACTACCTGCCGGAGGCTACAGGTGCAGACGGTGAACTGTGCCTTCCAGGAAGGGGAGCTGTACAAGGTACTGGGGAGCACAGGGGCTTGGAGAGAACCCGTCTCTCAGTGAGGGTCGTCTGTGGTCTTAGGATGAGGTGGGATAGACCAACTTGCTTGACAGAATGCATGGAAATACGTCCTTTCTCAGGGAGGGCGCTGGCTGAATAAGGAACGTCAGCATAAGACACACAATTACCAGGCTTCGGCTCACTGTTCTTTCCTCTGGGGGCTGTTGGGGAGAAAGAGATGAGAAAACCAGTTCCATAAAAAATTCCACTGGTGGCAAGGGTGGGTGGACAGGGGCAAGCCTGTGTGTGGATGTGCTGAGGACCCATGTCCCCGAAGGCTGCACGTCCCCCTGCACATGTCCTCCCCATGCAGCCCTGTCCCATGGGGGGAAGCTGGGCAGACCGCGCCACGCAGTCGCCACGGCTACCACACAGCCCATGCCGGAACTGCATGCAGCGGGCCGTGACGGTCACCAGTCTTAGAGCTCTTGACTTACCCAGTGGTTAAAACCAGGAGGACCACACAACCCCTTTTGCCTGGGATCATGATGGCTTATCCCTCACTTCCTATGTAATCATTAATAGCGTCCCTTTTTGCTTATATGACCTGCTTCAGTTCATAAATTACACGGTCCCTTCATGTTGTGTAATGACCTCCGTGTTCTTAACAAAGAGTGCACCCATCATGACTGTCCCTTCATTTTCCACACAGATAATTCTTTTCTTTTCTTTTTTTTGGAGAGGTTTTTGCTATAGGGTGTGTGCACTAGCCAGAGAGACACAGAGGGACAGAGAGACAAAAAGCGAGAAATCACCCCCCCCAGGGGGTGATGGCCATGCTGCAATCCCTCCTCCTCCATTCTCACCTCTTGGCATGACTTTAAGCCACCGAGTCCGGGACTCGAACCGCAGTTGACTACGTGGGAGTCCAGCGACGTAGCCATTACGCTATCTGCTAGTCTCAACGCACAGATAATTTTTCAAAGCATAGCAAGGTAGCCTTCTTTGGTTAGTCTCTGGAGAAGAGTGTGGAATCTACAGAAAGCTGAAGATGACAAGTAAAGTTAAAGGAAATGTTTTGACCTGAGAGACCGAGACTGAATTGGTGCACTTAGGAGAAATTCAATGAAAGAGAATAGAAAGAAAGAAAGAAAGAAAGAAAGAAAGAAAGAAAGAAAGAAAGAAAGAAAGAAAG